TATGAATAAGTTGCATTGGTATGTATTTTAAGGTCAATTTTGTTATATGTATATGTATTTCTGATATTGATTAAGGTATTGTGATTGTATAGTTCATTTAAAAATGTAATGTATATAGGTTGTTAATGGATAGTCATCTATAATAGTCAAGTTGGTAGTCATGTTAGATTTTCTAGATGTACATAGATATATTTTATGTAGGAGTTCTTCATATCTTTCAAAGATTATAGAATATGGCATTTTAAGTGTTTTAATAACTTAAGGCTTTTCATGACAATGAGACACTGCTCCTGGCAGCACCAATCTACTTCAAGAAAAAGATGGGCATCGAAGAGGATCCTTATGGAGTTTGATAGCCATTTGGGCAAGAAACTGCTCTTACCTGGATTGTTGCACAAACTGGACACAAAGAACCTGCAGAGAGAGTACTGCTGAACTTGCCTAAAGGTGAGATGATCTTTCAGGGTGCCTGATTCATGAAAGAGTCTGCGAGACATTCTGCAGGACACAGTAGAAAGTGACTGAACTGCCTTTGAAATTTCCTGCTTCATGGAAATGTCTCTGGATACTATGAGCCTGAATGCCAAAGATGGATGCCCCAGCAGTACAAAAGAACTTTGGGTGACTGTCCAGGCAGCGAGATGTCTCTGTCATTTCTAGAGTTTGGAAGTTGCTTATTTCTTGTTTGCTTAGGAAATATTGTATCCTTCTTGAGTCTTTGATGGAGTTGAAGAATATATAGTTAGTTATAGTTTTCTTTAGTTATGATAAAAATAAAATAGATGTAAATATTGTAATTCTTATTTGATAACTATTTTTGTTATATGTAATTTTGCTATGTTAAAGACTTCCTTTTTTAAAACAGAAAAAGGGGAAATGATGGGGGATTTCATTAGTCAATAAAGAAACTGCCTTGGCCCATCTGATAGGGCAGAACTTAGATAGGCAGAGTAAACAGAACAGAATGCTGGGAGGAGGAGGAAGTGAGCTCAGAAATCAAGCAGCTCCTCTCAAAGCCAGACGCGATGAAGCAAGCCACCAGTTCAGACATGCTGAATCTTTCCCGGTAAGCGCACCTAGTGGTTCTACACAGATTATTAGAAATGGCCTAAATGAATATGTGAGAATTAGCCTAGAAGAGGCTAGATATAATGTGCCAGGCAGTGTTTAAAAGAATACAGTTTGTGTGTTGTTATTTCGGGGCATAAGTTAGCTGGCGGCCAGGAGCCGGGTGGCAGGAAAGCAGTCCACAGCTCCTTCTACAGCTAAGGATGTTGAGTATTTTATTAATAGTCTTACAGTCATTTTAGATTCCTCTGCTGGGAGTTCTCTGTTTAGGTCTACCCCATTTTAATTGAATTATTTGTTCTTTTGATGAGTATTTCATCAAAATACAAATTCTTGAGTATATTTTGGAGATCAGCTCTCACCTTTAATCCCAACACTCAGGAGGCAGAGGCAGGTGTGTCTCCGTAAGGTTGAGGCTAGCCTGGTTTATAGAGCTGTATCAAGGACAGATGCCAAAGTTACACAGAGAAGCTCTGTCTCAAAAATACAGAAAAGAAAAAAAAAAGATGGGGTAAACTCTACAATACAAGTTGTGCTGGACTGTGGACATAGAGTGAAGGAAAAAGTATGAGCCCTTTCCATATAAATTCTTTCTCTTAAGAAAAAAGCAGAAAGAGTTTACATCACAGTTGACTTTTTGTCATTACATCATAGTATTCTAAATAAAAGCAAAAGTAATTTTTCCTTCTAATCTCTAAAGAGTAATTATTATTATTTCATAATTAATATATATAACATCAAATTTTCCACATCAAAGTCAAATTAAGTTTGAAAACATCTTACACTTAAAATAACATAATATAGAATTAATGAATTCTCCAAATTCCCAAAGCCTAAAATGACATTTTTTTCTTTAAACCTCCAGAATCAAAGAACACTTATCTCCCCAGGAAGTTTGCAGTGATTATTTGGTTGTGATTCTGCACAGGTTTAGTTCGTTTGTTTCAGTAATTCTAGGCTGTGGACAATTTCACACAACATCCAATTGTGAAAGTAAAATGTGTGCTTGGAAAACTTGGGTATAATCCATTTCCCAGAACTGAAAATACACAGCTTCATTAAGAAACTCTTATGTTACAGGTTGTCCTGTAAATCTTACCCAATTATGTGATTTTGCAAGAATCAGCTTTTAAAGTTCCTAGCAGCTAGGAGTGTAAACACAGGCAGGTCCTATACTAAAAATGTATTAGGCAGCACCTGACATATGGAAAAGCAAGGACAGAAAGAATGCTAGGTTCATAGTCCTTCCCTTTTAAAATTTTGTTAAAGCTGTACTTTTCTTTTTTGTTTTTAATATGGGCAAGGGTAATATCCAGTGGCCATGCTTGCCTATGGAAACTGGAACATGGCCTGCAGAAGATGTTTTTCTTTCTTTCACCTTGTAGGTTCCATGGATTTAACTCAAGTAGTCAGATTCTGTTGCAAGAAAGTTCATTAACCAGTTCAGCCTTCCTGCTGGTCCAGTTAACCTTGGTTTTGGAAGAATGTTGATATTTATCAAAGCAGAAGTGATTTATGAAATGCTTGCCTCTTCTTCCGGGCTTAGGAAAGCATTAGGATAGCATTTCACAATCATTTTTTTAATCAGCCCAGTAGCCAGTGTAGGGAAAAGAAACAATCGAAAATATTGAAGTATATATGTAACAATTTTACTTGATTCAAGTTCTGCTGCATGGGGAAAATCTTGTTAAGTTGATAGACTGTTGAAATTGTTTACTTTTCAGACAGACTCAGGCTACTAGGCAAGCTAAGAATGAAGAGGAAGCTCTGGGTACACTGAAAGTCCATGAAACTTCTCACATCTGTCTCTTCATTGTGTGAACTTCGTGAATATCATGAGTTACACAACATAATGCTTTAAATATTAAATTCCTTCTTCGTCTCTTACTGTGAAGCCCTTGGAACAGTAATGTGGACAGTGCAGCCCAATTCACCAGTAAGAATGAGCACCACATTTCAATACATAATGATGAAAAATCATATCCAACAATAACAAGAAAATCAACTGGAAATCATGGTATGAGGTTTTTAAATCATTAACATTAAATTTTCCTGTAAACTGGAGGGCACTTCCTTTTAATATTTAAATTCCACTTAGTGTTCATATAAACAGCTTGATTTCATTTGTATCATTTCTTAAGATTTATGAATTAGTTAAAAATAAGTTAGATCTTTGTTTGTAATATCTCATCAAGCAGTATGAACATAGAACATTAAAATAAAACACTAAAGTGTTGACTTATGACAAAAGAAAAGGTTGAGTCATAGTTAATAATATCAACACTGCTTTAGAAATCTTAGCCAATATAATTATCTCATTTTAATAATTCTTACATTTTCATTTATATAAAATGAATGCTTTAGTCTAAAAGGTATCCGAATATAAGAATTATAAGCCAAAATTCAAAGAATAATTTACAAAATATGATTGAAAAGGTGACTCAAAAATATTAATAACTCTCAAACAAATTTTTAGAATTTGACTAAAAGATATAACTGAGAAACCATATCTGTCTTTTTCTGTAGAGGCAAGGGTCCAGTTAGAGCTTGTGTTTTAATATTCTTCAGTGAGTAGAGGCCACAGCAAAGGCTCAAATTGCAGAGTGGGCTAAGTAAAATATCTGTGAAAATGATTCACATTGTGTTATTCACTGATATAGCAAGTACTAAGTCAGGTTTGGCAGTTGTTAGGACCTGTAACCTCAGAACATGGGCGTTGACACAGAAGGATTACAGTGAGTTTACGGACAAAGCAGGGTGTTAGAACACTGTATTTTTTAAAATCCAAGATAACAAAAATAAGCTAATTGAATACTTACATATCACTAGCTACCTATGAACTAGAAAAGTGAATCCCTTCATTAGATAAACCAAATCTTTTTGATGGAATTTAACTCAATGATAGAGTTGGAATTTCCGTTATTGACATGGGGGAAGAGCTCCCACACTCACACTGTACAGGCCACAAGAAGACTTCACAAGTGTATACGTTCCATACACACTCACAGGAAAACAGAAATTATGTGTCAAATTTTATAACCTTTTTAATCTCATACATGCCATTCTTATGTACAAAATTTTAAAGTCATGGCAATCTCAGTTGTAAGTGATGTGTCATCTTGAAAATTGCAGGTACATGGATAGATCTAGAAAACATCATATTGAGTAAGGCAACCAAGACCCAGAAAGACAAATAAATTTGTACTCCCTCATAAATGGCTTTTAGACATAAAGAAAACAAAAATCAGCCTACAATTCACAATCCCATAGAAGTTAGACAAAAAAGAGGACCCTAAGAGAGACATACGTGGATCTAATCTACATGGGAAGTAGAAAAAGACATGGTTTCCTGAGTAAACTGGGAGAATAGGGATCATGGCAGAGGATGGTAGGGGAGAGGCTAGAAAGAGAGAGGAACAGAGAAAAATATACAACTCAATAAAACAACAAAAAATCTTTAAAAAAGATAACTCAAAGCAGAAAAACGACAAAGCATGATCAAGAAATGCCATAAAAAAGAATTATGTCTCAAATAAATCCACTCACTAAAAAATTTGTAAAATCTGTCACTAAGCACAGATATTTACATATTTCTCACTAATCTTATATGAAGTATTTCAGGGACAACCATACAGAGAAGGGGTTTGTATTTTATTATGACTACAAGCTAAATAACTATACTGAATATGGATTGCAGAAACATATTTCAGGCACTGTTTGTGTTTTAGATTGGAAGAAACCATCAATTATGGCAACAAAATGAACTACTTGCAACTTTTAAACTTACCACCAAAGGCCATTAAGTTGCAGACCAGTAATTCCTTTACATTTTCTAAACTTCATTTGAATGATTGCTATAAGAAATATTATATGCAAATTTTTTATAGTGCAGCTCAGCCAGAAGGTAGAAAGGCAATCTGTTTAAAACTTACCTTGTGCTACACAAACAGTCCATAACATAAGGCACATAATTTTTACTGATGGTCTCATGGTTTGGATCTTTCTTGGATGCAGAGAATTACAGCACCACCCAGCCTCTGTTAAGAACTGTAGTTGCTGCAAGGAAAGTCTTGCCCCAAAGTGACACTGAAGTCGGCTTAGGAAATCAGGATCACTAAATGATCCGCCCCCCCACCCCCCTGAAACTTCTACAAAGTAAACTAAAAACATAGACTACAAATCTAGTGGCATGGGCATTTGATCTTTGCCCTTATTGCACCCTCCCTGTGACCTGCTGACTGTTCTTGTAAATGCCAGCTTGTTTTCTCTGGAAACAAGTTCAGGTTTCTCAGAATGTGAAAAGCAGGGGCTGGTGATCGCCTCTGGATTTTATAACCACACACTGAAAGCAATGAAGGCTCTTTAAATAATCATTTGGGGAGCTTCAGTTAGGCAGGGTTTTCAGGACCAACACAAAGGAACAGTCAAGAAACCTCTGTCTTCATTTCTAAGTGCTGTGCTCTCCCAGTTTCCAATCAATGTCACTGTCTCCAAGAACATGGACTCTATTTGTCTGTACTTAGTGTATGTAAGTGGGGAAGAAGCAATTTACTCCTTTGTTTAGTTAGAGTCCTTTATCAGAAATTTATTTGAGACATAACTTTGCACAGCATGGCTCTTGATTGTTAATTTTTGTTCTATGCAGTATTCAATTTGAATATTGGACAAACTAATTTTAACAAATTTTGTAATATACATACATACACACACACACACACACACACACACACACACACACAAACCAAAGTGGTCATCCCTAAACACACACACAAATATATATATATATATATATATATATATATATATATATATATATATCAACATTAATTAGAGCCAGTAGATTGTTGGTGTACACTAAAATACATATATGATGTTGATTATAGAAGAAGAGGTCAAGATTTAGAGAGGGGCAGGAAAGACATAGGATGAACTGGAAGGGGGAGAGAGATGTGTGGAAATTATTCAAATTCCTGTATAAAATTTTCAAAAATTCAAATTAAAAATGTTAAAGTAGGTTAAAGTCAGGGTCTTCTATTCGATTCCATTGGTTGACTTCTCTGTTTTTATGCCAATACCAAGCTGTTTTCAATACTGTAGCTGTGTAATAGAGTTTGAAGTCAGGGATGGTAATGCCTCCAGACAATCCTTTATTGTATAGGATTGTTTTGGCTATCCTGGGTTTTTTGTTTTTCCATATAAAGTTGATTATTGTCCTCTCCAGATCTGTGAAGAATTTTGATGAGATCTTGATGGGGATTGCATTGAATCTATAAATTGCCTTAGGTAGAATTGCCATTTTTACTATGTTGATCCTCCCAATCCAAGAGCAAGGGAGATCCTTCCATTTTCTGGTATACTCTTCAATTTCTTTCTTCAATGCCTTAATGTTCTTGTCAAATAGATCTTTCACTTCCTTGGTCAGAGTTACCCCAAGGTATTTTATGCTATTTGTGGCTATCGTGAAAGGTGATGCTTCTCTGATTTCCCTCTCTGCTTCCTTATCCTTAGTGTATAGGAAGGCAAATGATTTTTTGGAGTTGATCTTGTATCCTGCCACATTACTAAAGGTGTTTATCAGCTGTAAAAGTTCGTTGGTGGAGTTTTTGGGGTCGCTTATGTACACTATCATATCATCTGCAAATAACGAAAGCTTAACTTCTTCCTTCCAATACGAATCCCCTTGATCTCCTTATGTTGTCTTATTGCTATTGCTAGAACTTCAAGCACTATATTGAAGAGGTATGGAGAGAGTGGACAGCCTTGTCATGTTCCTGATTTTAGTGGATGGCTTTGAGTTTTTCTCCGTTTAATTTAATGTTAGCTGTTGGCTTGCTGTAAATAGCTTTTATTATATTTAGGTAGGACCCTTGTATCCCTATTCTCTCCAAGACCTTTATCATAAAGGGGTGTTGAATTTTGTCGAATGCTTTTTCAGCATCTAATGAAATGATCATATGGTTTTTTTTCTTTCAGTTTATTTATTTGGTGGATTGGGGGAGCCTAGGCAGTTTGGATGCTCACGTTATGAGACCTGGATAGATGTGCGCGGTCCTTGGGCTTCCCACAGGTCAGGGAACCCTGATTGCTCTTCGAACAGATGAGGGAGGGGGACTTGATTGGGGGAGGGGGAGGGAAATGGGAGGCGGTTGCGGGATGAGGCAGAAATCCTTAATAAATAAATAAATTAAAAAAAAAGAAGACAATGTCCCCTCTCCCAACAAAGTTTGTCCTCAGGGTTGGGAACACTGTTTAGGAGTTGTTGATTAATACTTGTATAAGGTACAGGATTTGGGTGAAAACTGTGTAGGCCCAAAGGAAAAAAAATGAGAGAAATTTTGAATGGGATAATAGATAATTTAGTGTGAACTTATTCACACAAACAATAATGGTAAAAGAGTGAATACTTGTGAGCTATTATTTATGGATAATTTACATTGATATAGTTTTTTGTATACAAGTTTAAATTATATTTGTTATTTCTGTTTGCAATATTTATACACCTATGCAAAGTTATTCTGTCAGATTGTATACATACACGTTTCTACCTCTGTTTAGGACATTTTGTATATTGATCCAACTTTTAGGATATATTTTCATATTGCATTATATATTATTCTTACCTCTGATCAAGATACTTACACATTGTTTACACTTTGAGGTCATTGTCCTCATTTGTTTCACATTTGTTTACAGATTATTTACTATTCTGACATGAAGTCTTAGTCTTTAAGTTAAACAGGTATTAAATATTATAGGTAAATAGTTGTTCATATTTGATATATATATATATATATATATTCAGATTAATTAGGTTCTTTAGATACATAGAAATTGTATTCTGCCTCGATAGGTAATCTTCAGCCACTTAAAGGATCTATAAAACATGACATTTAAATAACTTAGGGCTCTGTTGACATGAGACATGATTGCTCCTGACTGCACCAATCTATTCCTGAGAAAATGTTGAGCACCAAAGACACTGCACTTGGAGTTTGTTTTCTTCTTGGTACAATTGGCCTTTGGGCAAGGAACTGCCCATGCTTCAACCACTGACAAAGTACATGGTATCCAGAAATGAATAAGCAGGACACAAGGAAAAAGACTGTTAAACCTTGCTAAGACAGAGTAAGATGGTTCTGGAAAATTCCCTGCCTCTGAAAATGATCTGTCAGTTACTCTAATCCTTAGCCAAATTTGGTTGCTTCAATATTGCAAATGAGGCCTTGGGTGATTGCTCAGGTGGTCATATGTCTCTGTCATATACTGTTCATTTTGGAAGCTGCTTGATTATACATCCTGCCAGTTCAAGTAATATTATCTCCCTTCTCAGCCCTTTGATGGGGTTGAAGATTAGATAGTTGTAGTTACCATCCTCTTATGATTTAACCAAGCCTATTTTTGATGCAAGACTTAGACTCTTTGAAATAGAATGTCTATTAAAATATTTATCATGTGTTCCTTGCTTAATATTGTCTATGTTGGTTGTAATTTTATACTTAATATCTGTTCCTATTGTGTATAGTTTTGTATTGGGTTTAGATTGCTCTTATTTAGGCAGAAGGGGGAGGTGATGGGGAATATTTGCCAACCAATTATCTTTAAGAGGTGGGACCAAGTTAGGGTGTGGCTTTCTGGGACCTGGAAAAAAATGGGTGTGGCCCAGGTGCCATCTCTCTGTGTGGTTCCTTCGCAGCACAGCTGAGCTTGGGCTTCTTGTTCCTGTTTCATGTGTTTTCCTCTTATACTCAATAAAAATATAATTGTTTTTTTTAAAAAAAGAAATGTTAAAGTAAGGGTCGAACAGTGTCCAAGAGCACCTGGCAGGCCCAAGTGACCTCCAGGAGAAGCAGCCAGACCCAAGCAACCTCTGGAAGCAGCATGCAGGCAAAGGGACCTCTGGAAGCACAACTTGACTTCTGGCATGGTCAGAATTTTGACATTGATCCTACCCTGAGGAGCAATCGTCTGAACCTTTGACACACAGACACCTGGAGGAGGAACCACAGAAGAAACAAACCAAACTACACCAATTGGAGGAAAAGATAAGTAGACAAAATTTAAGAACACACACAATAGCAAAGAGCAACACAGAACCACCAAAACCTAGTGGCTCTATACAGCAAGATTTTGGGTGGCATTTAGTGCTATAAACTTTCTTCTTAGCAATGCTTTCATAATGTTCCATAGGCTTGGGTATATTGTGTCTTTATTTTCGTTGAATTCAAGGAAGACTTTAATTTTTTTCTTTATTTCTTACCTGACCCAGGGGTGGTTCAGTAGTTGACTATTCATTTTCCATGAGTTTGTAGGCTTTCTGGGGGTAGAATTGTTGTTAAATTCTAACTTTATTCCATGGAGATTTGATCAGACACAGGTGGTTACTAAGATTTTTTTGTATCTGTGGAAGTTTGCTTTGTTACCGAGTATGTGATCAATATTTGAGAAGGTTCCATGAGATGCTGAGAAGATATAGACTTTCTTATTTGGGTGGAATGTTCTATAGATATCTGTCAAGTTCATTTGATTCATTACCTCCATTAGTTCTCTTATTTCTCTGTTAGGTTTCTGTCTGGTTGACTTGCCCATTGGTGAAAGAGGAGTGTTGAAATCTCCTACTATTAGAGTGTGGGGTTTGATGTCTGCTTTGAGTTCTAGTAATGTTTCTTTTACATATGTGGGTGTTTTTATGTTAGGGGAGTAGATATTCAGGATTGAATTCACCCTGATGAATTGTTCCTGTTCTGAGTATAACGTGTCCATCTCCATCTCCTCTGATTGATTTTAGTTTGAAGTCAATTTTATTAGACATTGGTATAGCCACACCTGCTTGTTTCTTAGGTCCACTTGATTAAAAAACCTTTTCCCAAACCTTTACTCTGAGTAAATGTCTGTCTTTATCATTGAGGTGTATTTCTTGTAAACAATAGAATGTTGAATCTTGTTTTCGCATCCATTCTCTTAACCTGTGCCTTTTAATAGGTGAATTCAGTCCATTGATATTAAGTGATATTCATGACCAGTGGTTGTTAACTTTTTTTGTGGTAGAGTTTATGTGTTTCCCTTCT